CCCCAAAACCCCAAAACCCCAAAACCCCACAAGAAAAAGGAATTGCGATATAAATGATAATAAAAACTATGAATGAAAATTTAAATATATATATAATTTCGTCATATTTTTATATATATAATAAGTCACAATCCTAAAAATGATATCAGAGTATGTACCAACAGATCTCTCTACAATTAAAAGAGAAACTAAAATCAAGAACCAATATGAATTTGAGTAGGAAATTGCTAACATTTCAGAAGTACTGAAAGATCTAAGTATGATTCACTTTGCTCATTATTATTGTAGATTCTCATGATTGGAAACAAAGATTAGAAAGTCTAAGAAAAATCTAGAGCATTTTAGTTAATCAAGACATAGTCAATTATCCTAATTTCCCTACATAAATGCTAAAACTATAGGCTCCACTGACTGCTCAGGTAAAAAATTCTTTAGTTTAAAAGAATTGTAGATGGTAGATCAAAGATCAGCACTGACAAAAGAAGCTTCAAAAACAATCGCTCTCATGGCTGAAGTCATGCAAGATTAATTTGAAATACTAGCATAGCGATTCATCCATCCGAATTCTCTGATAAAATTAGTTCAGAATGCCAATAAAATTATATCAGAACATGGTCATTTGTGTATTATAGCTATATTACATAATGTTGTGTCAGCAAAGTAAGTACATCTTTATATACAGACGAATTTTACCCTAAACAATTATTCTTAATAAACGATCCAAAAATATAATGACAGATTATTCAGAGATTTATAGGATTGTTAATAAAATATTTGATGAGGCTAAGAATAAGAGTCCAATAGTTAGATCTAAAGTAGCTCAGTATTTTTTGGCAATTCTTCTTACTTACCCTGAAGAGATAGTCGACAGATAATCTCAAATAATTGAGGATTATTTATTTTTAGCACTTAGTGATGCTAAGCCAGAAGTACGTTAAAATGCCAGAATGTGTTTCATTAGATATAAAGAAATATTTCCTCAAAGAGGGAATCATATATTCAATTGTTTGGAATACTCAATTCAGAAAGCAATTTATGATGACGAAGATTGTAATTAATAAACCATATTTATTTCTTTAAATAGCTTAAGCTTATGACAATTTGTCCAAGAATAGCCAGGCCAATATTTTAAGCAGAAAATCTGAACCAGTTATTTGCAGTAAGACCCAGCCAAACTTCTATGGAGTTGCTCCTAACAAAAATATGAGTGAATTTGATGATAACCAATCCCTATCTTCTATAAATTCAATTAACTCTAAGATGAGTAAGATAAATCTTAATAATAATAACAATGGCGGAAATAATCTTGCAAGGACTCAAGATAACTTTGATAAAAAAACCCAAAGGCAAAAATAAAATATGCCTCTACCAGATAAATCCACTGATTTTGAGTAAATATTACAGCCTCATGCTTATCCCTCTAGTACTGAGAATCATAACTAGAGATCTTCAAAGAGATAAAAAGCTAACTATATAGATCTTCCGATTTAGTAAGACGAAGAAACCTTTGATAAGATGCTATAAAATGACGATTATCGCCAGAATAATATGATTATTCAATCGTTCAAAAAGGACAGCAGAGGGGTAAGTTCATCAAATAAATCTGGAGGTAGCTAGTTTAATTAGAATCAGCAAAATTCAAATGATCAGATCCAAAGTAAGCTACAGCTTCTGAAAAGTAGGTCTAGTCAGTCCCAATAAAATTAATTATCCCATCAAAACTCCAATGTCCAATCGAGCTAGATAGATGACGATTCTTTAAGTTCAATCGCACATATCTCTAATTCTATCATCACTGAAAGAAATAAATCAGTTAGAAATGCTCAAGAGAGTGGATGTGTTGAAGAAGAAGTCTTCAGAAAACCTAGCTCAAAATCGCAAATTAAACAAGGAAAAGTGTACTTGGAAGATTCAGAATTAGTAGAACTCAAGAGAAAACTATCAAATCCTGGTTACGAGACTGCTTAGTAATTTTATTAAGAAGCTGGAGCATCTCAGACCAACTAATTCCCTCGACAGACCCAATAACATGCGGGCTAATTTGAATTGAATCAAAATATTGAAATGCTTCTAGAGAAAGCTGAAAAAGAAAACTGGTCTGAGAGGTTAGAAGCATTCATTGGTCTATAATAAATCATATATGAGTGGATTGCAATAATGGGTGAGGCTAGGGCGATGAATCAGCAATTAACATTCTAGCATTTACAAGTAACTCAAGAGAATATTTTTGAGATTTTAAAATGTATGGTCAATCATTTAGGCGATAATCACTTCAAAGTGGTCTTGATTGTCCAAGATAGCATGTGCTAAATATTCTAATTATTTCATGAGATGTTTGCACCATATCTGCAAGTTATTATAGAAAAACTATTGAAAAATGTTACTGATAAAAAAGAATCAGTTTGTTCTTCAGCTAATATTTTGCTTAATATGTTCCAATAAATTTATGGAGGTGATCAATTAGTACCTATCCTTCTCAAAATACTTGACAAGGCAGAGACTATATAAAATAAAGTATTGATTTCATGTCTTGAAGTGCTAATGGTACTCTTAAAAGATGCCTACTAATTTGCAATGTCTGAGGACAACATTAAGAATTGTGTTATCAAGGTTTGCTTAATAGCTAGTGATAACTCTGCTAATAAAGCAGTAACACTTCCAATAATTGGTGCTCTTCTCACTCTAAGAGATAAAAATGTAAATGCCTCAATGCAAGCTATATTAATGCTAGACTCAAAGACACTAGAGATTATTAAGAGACTTGGTCATTTCTACGCTCCTGATTTAGAGGAGAATATAGTTGAATTCATAAATAAAAGAAATGCTTAATATGAAGGAAAGGATGACATGCCCTTAAGTCAGATAGATGATTCTCCAAGAACTATACTTGAGAATAAAAAGCAGAAATTATTGACAAAAAATCCACATCAAAACTAATATGATATACCAAATGCAATGAAATCTCCTAAAAATATGACAAATAATAAAGTGACCCCAAATTCATCGATCACAAGAGCAACTATCAACTTTGAGGAATCAAAAATTACAAAAACTAGTAAAATTTAGTAGAAAGTTATGGATATGAGTGTCCTATCAAACAAAGAGGAAGATGAGGAAATGCTTTCATTTTTGATGATTGAAAATTAAGTCAAAAAGCAGAGTACTTAGTAGTCAGATGATATCCTAAATACAATCATCTAGAGTCAAAATATATAAAAGCAAGTTTAAGATTTAGACCTCAATCAAAGAATAGAGCTACTAAAGAAGATATAGCAAAGTCATGTTGATTCTAAAAAGGATGGATAAATGGGATTTACCTCTTAAAACTTAGAAAGCATTTTAACAATCCTAAATCTGCTGCTTAATTCTTAATAGACCAAGAGCAATAAAAATGATGAATAGGCTATGAACGTGTAAAGTGAATTTAAGGAAAGAACATTAGAAATTATGACTATCATAATACAAGAGAACTTCAAGCGATTTGTAGATATCACTAAATAATCTCAAAACAATCTTTTTGAATCATTGATGCAAGCCTTAATCCTGAATTTCAATGAAAACAAGTACATTTCAAAGAAATCAGAGGCGATATTTGATATCCTAGTTGCTTACTCTCATAAATAATAGTAATATTCAGCTTTAATAATGAAGACCTTATTCAAATTAAATCAAATTGACTAGTAATAGTACTCTGGAATATTACTGCCTGTTATTCTAAGATTCACTGCGAAAATAATCAAAATCATTGTCAAATAAACACTCGTTAGTATCTAAGAAGACGTTTTTAGAAGTCTTTTGCTGAATAACATGAACCATCCAAACCCTGAAGTCAGAAAAAATGTGGTGTTCTGCTTGGTTGAAATGAGGATTATAGTTGGAGAATATGATTTTCAGAGTATTTTTTAGAGACTACCAATGAGCTAATAAAAACTAGTATAGATTTATATTGAAAGAAGATAAGGAAATTAAACATCGACATCCTCTTAAATAAGTTCATAATAGACTGGGGGGAAAATTTTATGATATGTTAAGTTGATTAATCTTGATTTAATAAATATAAGCATTTGTAATTTCGAATAAATGTTATTAATCCAACTCTAACTTCAATTCTCATTATGAGAAACTGAGTTTCTATTAGAGTTCCTTAATCTCAAACTATTTTTAGGACTCTATCCGGTTGCCTGAAGAGTTAAGTTTAATTTTGCTTTTACAAGAATTTCTCTTGGGTTTAAGTCTTGTAATAAGTTTCTTTCTGCTATTAGATTGTTGAATTTCAGCTTTTCAATAACCTTCTTATTATGCTCCTCTGCCTGTCTCTTGACTTCGTCAATCTTGTGCATTTTAGTCATTACTTTAGCTTTCTATAGCAATATAGAATCTTTAACTGACCTATAATTCTCCTGAACATCCAACTATCTCAAGGAATTCATTTCTCTCTTTTTCTATGTCTCAATATCTCTCTGCTGTGACACATTCAAGGGTTTTTACATTTTATATTCTAACTTTTCAATTGTTTCTTTTTTCTTTCTATCATCTTAGTATTTAAGATCATCTCTAATACTCCTGCTTCTATCGAACTTTTGAGAGATAATCTACCTGATATGGTTTCTCTTATTGTCTTCCTAGGCTATTTTTTTCTTGATTTTGTTTTCAATTTAACTGTCTTTTGTAATAACTCTATCAAGACTGCGATTAAAGTGATGATCTATGATGCCTCTATGCTTATTTTATGTTTCTTATAACATACTTTCAAACTTAGATGTTCTCATCATGTTAGTATCATGTAATATCTTTTACGCTTTTTCTTATCCCTTTTGAATTTTGTATTCAAGTCTTTATAGGTATAATCCAATTTCTTGATTTTCTCGCTTTTTCACTTTAGGCATTATCTTCTGATTCATCTGCTCTTCTTCTATTTTCTTCTTAAATGTTAGAAATTAACTAGTTGACATTTATTTCTCTCTTTAAGATCTTTTATTTGTCAATTAACTAATCTCCTGAAACCTGATATCATGAATGGATTATGACTTGGTTTCAATTTCTCTCAGAGTTCTTGATAGATTGTCTCTGGCATTAGCTCTTTTTTGCTGATTCATCTCAATCCTCTTTTGATCTTCTTGGTTCTTTCTTTGCATATTCTGCTTAAATCTATCAAAATTTATGATTTTATGATTGAGTTTTTCCTAATATCTCTAGACTGTTTGCTAAGCTAAATTGATAGCATTTTATCTCACTTTTTTAAATTTTTCTACTCTATCTTTTTCTTTCTCGTACATCTTCTAGGCTAATTGAACTTAATAATTAGACTAGGTATCAATCCCTTATGGCTAAGTTATGAAGCTATTTGGTGATAGATTGAGCTGAGATCTTCTTTAAGAGCTCATTGGGGCTCTTGCAGGCCTGAATGATATTTTACCTACAGTTACTGGTTTCTTAGGTTCTTAACTTTAGTTTTATGAATGTTAAATTAGTGATTATTATGTGACAAAATTTTGAGGTGAATTCAAGTTAAGAGTGCTAGTAAGTCTTATACTAGCTCGATGACCTATTAGAGTACTTTAATTTAAACCTTGACTAACACCAGGACTTCCACCAGAGCCTCCTAGATTCATTGATGTTGGACTGTTAAAGTTAGTGTTAGAGATACCGAATTGCTACAGCTTACTTGGTGGAGAGAACTAAAAGTTGTTTTAGATTGTAGGCAGTCCTGAGGATGTTGGACTAATTAGTGAGTTCTAGAGTGAAATATTGAGTGAGGTATTGCCTATGTATGGCGATTTTTTCTTCTTTTTGTTTTCGATGGGACCATAAGCTCTCATAAGCTGTTCAAAGTATTCTTCATTATTGCTATTAGAGATAATTTAATCTTACTTTTCCTTTTATTCTAGTAATGATTATATCTCAACTCAGCCACTTCACGTAAATCTTTCGTGCCTTTTAAGAAATCTTCAACACTCCTATATTTAATATTCTTTAACTGATATAATTTATTGCTTACTTGTCGTATAAATCATCAGCATTAATATGGAGCTCTTAGCAAAGTTTATTAACTCTTTCATTTAATCTGTTTTTGTCTACACAATCTTAATCTATTTGGAATTTCTTACCAACAAAAATAACTCTAAGGAATCTATCATATCTTGGATCATCTTCCACCTTCATTACTTCTGAAACTAAAAGGATTAAGATTCTATTGAAGTTGAAACTTACATCTGGGGGAGCTAATACTTTTCATTTTATCTTTTATTTTCCTTATATTTTCATGAATTAAACATTATTTAAGATGGATGGGGTTTTGGGGTTTTGGGGTTTTGGGG